TCGCCGTTTGTTATAGTGGGTTTAGGGCGCCGGGGCCTAGGTATAGGGGGTTTTATGAGGGTGGGGTGAAGACTCCCGTGTTGCATGTGTTGGGGTCGTTGGATGCCGTGGTGGATGAGGGGAGGAGTAGGGCGTTGGTGGAGGTCACTGATGCGGTGGATGTGGAGGGGAGGGTGGTGGTGCATCCTGGGGGGCATTTTGTGCCGGCGCAGAGACCGTATTTGGATGCTGTGGTGGGGTTTGTGAGGGGGGTTCTTGGGGATGGTAATGGGGGGAAGAAGGAGAAGGAGGAGGTGGATGTTAATGAGATGGAGTTGCCGTTTTAGATTAGAGATAGATGTAGACTATAGATCGTGTGTGTATGTATGTTTGTATGTATGACGATGTCATTATTGTCCCATTCTACTATCATCAATGTGCATATCTGCTATTCTGCTACTCAGAATCTACCGGGCCTTGCCCTTCTCTCGCGTGGGAAGGATCCGCGCCATCATCTCCTCCTTCGTGATCAGATGGTCGATCCGCTCCAGCAGCCCCAGAAGGCTCTTCATGTCGCTGCTCCATTCGTTCAGCACGTCGTCGGCATCACGAGGCTTGGCAAAGTTGACCAGTCGGGCTGGACGGTCGATCTTGGCGTAGATCGTCTTCGAACACACCAGCTCGCTGATGTACTTCTCGGTTTCCTCCTCCGTCAGGTCCAGCAGTTCGGTCAACCGGCCCATCTGGATACGTGTGTAATACTTGGCCACCACCCGCACGTTATGCTCGATCACGCGCTTGCGGAGGTCCTGCCACCTCCGGTACGGCTGGTCTTCCACCGACTGGCTGGGCTGAGGCTTGAAGACATCCGTGTTGCAGAGGTGAGGACCGAACTGCTCGCCCACCATGGGCCAGCGCATCAGCTCGTGGATGGTGAAGAGCTTCACTAGCCGGCCTTCAACCGGGACGAGGGAGAGCCGCGAATCCTGTTGGATGCGGTGCAACAGGTCCGACTGTTCGTTATCGTAGGAAGACAAGACGATGTAGTAGACAATCCTGGCGAGGACCTGGATGATATTAGCTTGAAGGTACTCACTAGTCTTCTAAGGTAAACTTACGGCGCGAAGCTGCTCCGGGTTGTTCTCCACCGACTCCGTATCCAGCACTTCCCGGTAGTGTTTGCAAACATCCAGATATTTGTAGTCGTGGTTGGCGAGGATAATCTGTTGTTCGTAGTAGCGAAGCTTCAAGTCGGTCACGTCATCGTCCACCTCCATCGGTGCCTCATCCGGGCTACGCGTCTTCTCCTTCTCTTCGGCTTCCTTCTTCAGCTTCTCAATTTCCTCTGGGCTCTTCTTCGGCTTCCGGTTGAAGTATCTCTTGTTGATCTTGCGGCTGAGGATGGTGGCCTGTGTCCAGTCGCCCCGTTCTATGCAGAGCGCAACCTGCTCCAGGATGAACTCTGTCTTCTCCCGTCTGGTCATGGAACCGAATGTCTCGACTTGCAACTCGCAAAGAATATCGGCAGCAGCATTAAGGTCGCCTTGGGTCTTCTTGATGTTGGAAAGAATGCGGGTAACACGGGCTCTCTCGACTTCGACGAAGATCTATATAGCTGCGCATTAGCATGATGCGGAGCTGGACGGGTGGTTATTTCACTGACCTTGCCCTCAGTCACAGTCCGCAGTGTGTGGATGACGGACAGCTTGACCTCCAAGTTCGGTGTCTCATCCAGGAATCCCATCACCGTCTGGACCATCTTCGTTACGGCCTGCTTGAGCTGGCCATGCTTCTTGGATAGCAGGAGGACCTGGTCGTTCAGCAGGTTCCAGTCTCCCGAGTTCTTGCTGAGTGTGACGATGGTGATAAGGATGCGCGATGTTGTGGCAAGATCCGAGGCCTGTAGGATGGGTAAGAATCGCGTTGTCGCCAATCAGACGAAGGAAGGACCGTACTTGTCTTGCTTGCTTCTCCAATACAAGGAGCTTGTCAATGGCACCCTGAACATCGGTCTTTTGACGGTCAGTGAGTTATGTTTGCAGAACCAAAGGTAAAGCTCCAACCTTAGCAAGCTGCTCAGCCTCGGGGATCAGCTTGTCAGCATCCTTGGAGAAGTCCTTCTCCGGCTTCAACAGGGTTTCGGACATGGTGACGAGGAAGCGTCACAGCAGGGTATAAATCAAATTTGGCGGATATTAACCTGTGAACGAGAAAGACGGATGCAAGATATGGGAGGGATTATTGGGAGAAGATGGGAGTCTGGGGGGAATGATGAAAGATGAGTGGAAGCATGGACTGGATCGGAGCTCTGACGTGCAGCTCGAGCTGGCGGCAGCTGTGTCACGTGATATACACCGCTGCAGCACTTAGACCAGATCAACATCTTTCAACGATATTCTTCATATAATAGGCGTGTTCCCCTAGCTCTCGATGAAACTGAACTCGCAGCAATATGGTTTCAATCTCTATTGAAAACATGTCGAAAATTCTACATACGGTTGTCTATAATGACTGTGATACTCCCGACCACCAACTAACACGATTCAGCCAATGTTTTGGTTACTAGGATAAACACACGAGACCACCACGAACCAGTTAGCACTTATATTTCATCAGTGATCGGGTTTGCACCAAGTGGAATTGCTTGAACTCTCGGATATATTGAAGTGTCAGACACTAACTCTTCTCAATGAACATATCACAATATATGCTCGCGTCTAGAGGCATGCGCTCGAATCACACCCGTCATGGGGCATAATTCTTGAGCATATTATTCCCTGTTCTGCCAGATATCAGATAAGAGCATGAGATGTCGAACAGTCATCTCAGCTAATACTCATTGTTACTGAATCAGGCACCATAATCAGCATACTGAATCTCCCAATCCGGGGTTGGATTACCTAAGCCACTGCTTGCGATCACGCAATATCGCCTTAACCCCATCAGGAAATGCATCTATAAATTTCCCAGAGGCAAAATGACTGCAATTCCGCTGGTATTCTGTGGTGACTCCGTTTATCAATCGTTGAGATAGTCTTATCGACCTGCCAGACGTGCTGACTGGAGAACGTGGTTCTTATCTGCAGTCGTTGCTCATCAGTTGGCTTTTCCGCGGAGTTGAAGAACCTGGAAACTTAATCGACTGGCTACTTCAATTGTGGGATGCAAGCATAAATCGCCGTGGGTCCTCCAATTCAGGGTCTTGGTTGTTCTTACCACCAAAACTTTTTACGACAACAACGAAGTCCAAGAAAATATTGAAGGTTAGACCGCAAACCCCGCGGTGGCAATTCAAATATGAAGGACGCATCAGATAGTGGTGTTCCGGCACCTCTACTGACAGCCGTGAACGTTGAGTCACAAGTCCATCTGATCATCGGGGCCAACCCTCTTGCAGCAGCCCGTTGTGCCAAAAGTATTGAAGCTGGCGCAAAGCCCGTTCTCATTGCCCCAGACACAGAGAGCCTGCAATACACGTTGGTCGAACGAATTGAGAACGGCTCTTTGAAGTGGCTTCGCAGAGAGTTCAAGGATGAGGATCTTACGAGCCTAGGAAGAGAGGAAGTCGACCATGTTGTAGACACGGTCTTTGTCACTCTAGGCGGAAACAACCCATTGAGTGCACACATTTCTAAGCTCTGCCGTCGTCTGAGAATCCCAGTCAATGTGTCAGATGCTCCTGAACTCTGTACCTTCAGCTTGCTGTCCACATATTCGGACGGCCCTCTTCACATCGGCATCACAACGTCAGGACGCGGCTGTAAGCTGGCCTCGCGACTCAGAAGGGAAATCTCGTCCGGTCTTCCGTCAAACCTCGGAAATGCCATTGACAGGCTTGGTGCAGTGAGAAAGCGCCTTTGGGCGGAGGATTATGCTGCCGGACTATGTGATGCACCGCTAGAGGGTGACGAAGATGATGCGACTGGCCAACGGCACACATTCAACACATTAGTAACAGAGGACGACATCTCCGCGGCCAAAACCCGCCGCATGCGCTGGCTGTCCCAAATTTGTGAATACTGGCCCCTTCGCAAACTGGCCGCTATCACAGATGAAGATATCAACGCCATCCTTGAGGCTTACTCGTCTAGCAAAGACGGACCCAAAGATCTCAACAACTCGGAAGCCCTGTCAAAGAAGGGCAAGATTGTTCTTGCTGGCTCCGGCCCAGGACATCCAGACCTACTCACACGCGCGACATACAATGCCATCCAATCCGCCGACATCATCCTGGCCGATAAACTCGTCCCAGCACCTGTCCTAGAACTTATTCCCCGCAGGACAGAAGTCCACATTGCGCGAAAGTTCCCAGGCAACGCAGACCAAGCCCAGGAGGAATTCTTGAAGATGGGCCTAGACTCCCTGCGTCGAGGAAGATACGTCCTCCGACTGAAGCAGGGTGACCCCTACCTCTACGGCCGAGGAGGCGAAGAATTCGAATTCTTCCGAGGCGAAGGCTACGCACCCGTCGTCCTTCCCGGTATCACCAGTGCACTAAGCGCGCCCCTCTTCGCAGACATCCCCGCCACCCACCGAGGCGTATCCGACCAAGTCCTCGTCTGCACAGGCACAGGCCGCAAAGGCGCAGCCCCAGAACCTCCTACCTACGTCCCCACACAAACCGTCGTCTTCCTGATGGCCCTGCACCGTCTGTCCGCACTCATAGAGTCCCTGACCACCGAGCCAGCAGAGGGTGCCCGCCCACGGACCCCATGGCCGAAAGACACTCCATGCGCAATTATCGAGCGAGCCTCCTGCACTGACCAACGCGTCATCCGGTCTACCCTGGAGCACGTAAGCGCTGCCTTCGAAGCCGAGGGCTCAAGACCCCCTGGTCTCTTGGTTGTTGGCGCGAGCTGCCATGTTCTACATCCCGCTCAGGGACAGAAATGGGTCGTGGAAGAGGGATTCCGTGGATTGGATGAGTTGCTTACGGAGGTTACGGCTTGTCAGAATGAATGATGCAGGGATAAAGGGCTTTATGATCGTTACGTTACGGATGATGTTCGCTTCGGGTTTGCATTTGGATGGATTTTGGTTGCATAGATACCCATATACCGAATAGACGAAAGAAGACTTTTTTTGGTCACTTGTTTTATACTCATTGTAGGTTAGTTGGTTGTCGTCTTCGTAGAGCTGTTGAGCCCTTTTGGTGGGTGGGTTTAATGCTGGCCTGGTCTAGATGTGAATTACTCGCGTTGAGTGCATGATCCGTCGGTTGTAGTAGGTAGTCGCTGACATGAGCAGCATTGCGTGATATACGAATTTGTTAAGGTAAGTGACAGACAACTCATATCAGCCAGGTTGAGAAATCAATCAGGGTCGCAAGCGTAACCGTGTGCATGGTAGCTATGTTTCAAAGACCAACACCACATTTACCTGGCCCCCAAATCAAGTGACCACCTTATTAACACGACGAGAAAGTACCTGGGCGATCTTCTCCCGTCGAGCATTCATCTGTGCCAACTTTGCCCGTAGGATCTTCCCACTCGCGGTCCGAGGAATATCAGAGACAAACACCACGCCTCCATCTAAAGCCTTGTAGCCTGCTAACTGGGACTTCGCAAATTGGTAGACCTCATCTGCAGTCAGTTTGGCGTTAAAGGCTGGTGATTTCACCACAAATGCTCGGGGCAGTTCGGTGCTCTTGTCACTGGACTGGACCCCGAGGACAGCGGCATCGGATATTCCTGGGTGCTTGGAGAGGACGGCTTCTATTTCGGCGGGAGCTACTTGGTTCCTGAGCATTACTATTAGAAGGGTGGTAGTAGAATATGGCTGGGGTTTTACTTGCCCTTGTACTTTGATAATTTCCTTGACTCTGTCAAACAGGTAGTAGTATTCGTTTTGTCGGTAGGCTACGTCCCCTGTTCGAAACCATCCATCTGCGTCGACTCCGTCATCTCGTCCCTTATAGTTCGAAAATAAACCTGTGCCTCGTACGTATAGCTCACCGGGACAGTTGTCACTGGTTATCATCATACCTTCGTCGTCGATGAGTCTTGCCTCGTTTATCCCGACAAGTTTTCCGATACTTCCTTTATCGACGCGCTCTCCATACCTGCATACAAATACCGGGCCGGTCTCTGTCATGCCCCAGCTTTGCGCTGCAGTAGCTTGTTTGTGTAGCAGTCCTTGAAATTTTTGCAATGATCCCGTGTCGATGGGCGCGCCTGAGACGCCTACCATACGCAGAGACGAAAGGAGCTCTGCCACGGGCCGAGAGGACTGAAGTGAGAGGTGAACTATTGCTGGTACAATAAATACGTCTGTTATTCTGTTGCTGTGAACAGCGTCGAGGAAGTGATTCAGTTCGAACTTTTGCAGGAAGTACGCTGGTTCTCCTTGACGGATGGGAAATGCGTGCCAGAGTGCCCCGAAGCGATGGTATACTGGAACAATGACCAGTCTTCTGATAGCGTATGGAACCTCATAGTGCTTGTTAAGATGCTGGGAGACAACGGCCTGGTGCGAGATAATGGCGGCTTTGGGAAGCCCACTGGTGCCGCTGGTGCAATACATAGCGGCTGGAGTGGTTTTGGCCAGGGTTTCGTCATCGAACTTGATCCAATCCTCTTCGCCGCAGGCGAGAAGGTCGTATAATGTGATGGTTCCAGCATCTTGACGACGATACCTGAGGTTTGACTCTAGAAAGCTAGTGATGGTCAATTCTTCGAACAGGCAGATTTGCTCCGGACCGAGGCCTTTGCTGGTTGCAACACTCAAAACAGCATGAAGCATCTGTTTTGTCGTAATGATTAAACTTGGCCTCCCAAGCTCAAGAACATTGGCTAGTTCATGAGGTGGGCTATCGGGGCTGGCACCCATGTAAACGCCCCCGGCTCCTATTATGCCGAAGAAGAGAGCTGAGTGAACATACTAAAGACTGTTTATCAGATGCAGTCATTGGGAACTAGGCCTTGCCTGTGTGTTTTACCTACGCTATTGCCCAGATGAACCAGCACACACTCTCCTTGCTTAATATACCGCCTGAGGCCTGCGATCAGAGCCCGCACTAATTGACGTAACTGATTGGCATTCAGACTGCGCGATGGATTTCTTGCATCAATATAGAGTGGCTGGCTCTCGTCATAGTCAACCGAGTGATCAAAGGCAAAGGACAAAACGTCCTTGTGCACAGTTGGAAAGTTCATCATAATGGAAGCAGAGACAGGCTCAGGAGTAACAGAATGGCAATTAGCAGGTATATCCGAGGTAAGATCGTTTGGTCTCGTTTTCGGGATGGCGCCTGAACCACGAGCAGACACGAAGCCCGTATTCGACTACTTCGGCACAAATTGCATCAGTCTGAAAGGGGACATGCAAGATGGGGTCAGTTCCGGCTGACGAATTGGAGCATGCATCATGCTGCAGTTTTAGTTTGCCCGTACTACCTCATCGGGATGTGTGCTGTAGGCATGATCAAATCACGAGGCTAGGCGGGCATGAACGCCTGTCAGCATGTAGCTACCCAGATGGGGGGTTGAATTTTCCAGGTCCTATAATTGGGTACAGCGAAATCGGAAGAGGGTTAAGTTTGCTACATATTATTAGTCGCATGGTAAGCACTTGGACAGAATTGCCTTGTTTGTTGTGACGGTGATCTAATCTGAATCCGATGTAGATGGGTGATGCAGCTAGCTTATCTAGCGGCGGAGGGACCCCGAATTCTGACGAGTTCCATAAGCGAGGCACCCTCCTGTGCCCATGAGATATGTTGCTTTATCCAACTCACACGGAAATCTCTATCGGTTGGTGATAGGAGGTAACCTAAATATTGACAACAGAGTCCTCTGCGCAATATGGGCTTGCGTGCTTGATGTGAAGAAAATACCCATGCTCTGAAAGGGTCCGAGACATGCATATGTCGGGGTAGTTCTAGGCGACGCCGATGACGGCGATGAACCAACCGAAGGACAGAAGAGGTACCAAGCCTAGACTGGTCTTACCTCCGACTGGCCGCGATTCTGCAACTGCAGCACGAGCATCGATCCGTCCAATAGAAATCCCAAGCCACACCCAGTGAATGCCTTTGTCTCGAGCCTGCCGGGAGGAAGAGCTGATTGCAGCGCCCTGCCCTTGTTCGCTTCACCACGCTCAATGGCTGGACATATGACACCCTGCAGGTGGTCCACTGGTGCAACGCTAGTTCTCCAAGGTCTATCGACTGAGAGATGAGCATGGCAGTCAAGGAGGAGTCCTGCATGCCGAGTGACAGGTCCAGGTTTGCATCCCATAACCCCACCTGCCCTATGCCAACAAGAACGTCACTTAGTTAGGAGGCCTCTGCCCTGTCTGCATGGGGAAGTGTACCAATAACTCCACTGCACCATTCTGACATTAGCGCTGTTAGTCTTCCGAAATGCACTTGCCTAGAAATAAGACGACCTAAGCCACGGAGCTTAACGAAGGCTAATTGGTCACAAGCGGGCCACGAGAAACCAAAATGAAATGGGAGGAAGTAAAAGTGTATAAAAGGGAAAGGAAACCTGCAGTCCGCCTCGGTCATCTGATCCGGTGGTCTTTCCTTTTGTACCATCAGCAATCAATTGATTATTCTCTTCTGCTTCATGTCGGTCCCTGAACCCATCGCAATTATCGGGACAGGTTGCAGATTCCCAGGCTCAGCATCCTCCCCGACTAGGCTCTGGGACCTTCTGCTTAATCCACGCAATGTAGCTTCTAAGGCACCCAAGGATAGGTTCAATCATGATGCCTTTTACCATCCTGATAAACATCATGGCACAGGAAACTCTCCTGAATCCTATTTTCTTACTGAGGACCCCCGCGCATTCGACGCGCCCTTTTTCAATGTCTCCCCTGTTGAAGCGGAGTCGATGGACCCTCAGCAACGTTTACTATTGGAGGTCGTCTACGAGTCTCTGGAGACAGCAGGCTTAACACTAGAAGCCCTTCGAGGTTCTGACACAGGAGTCTTTTGTGGTCTTATGAGTACGGACTATGCCAATCTGATCGGCCGTGACTGGGATGAGGTTCCCATGCATACCCCATCCGGAACGGCAGCTTCGATGCTTTCCAATCGTATTTCCTACTTTTTTGACTGGCATGGGCCATCAATGACGATAGATACCGCATGCTCTTCAAGCTTGGTAGCCCTTCACCAAGGTGTAAGTGCTCTGCGAAACCAGGACTGTCACATAGCCCTGGTGGCGGCTAGCAACCTAATCTTTAGCCCCCGCGAGTATATTGCTGCTTCCCAGATGCACTTACTCTCCCCTTCCGGACGGTGTCGGATGTGGGATGAAAGCGCGGATGGTTATGCACGCGGTGAGGGTATTGCTTCCGTGGTGTTGAAACGCCTCAGCGATGCTATTGCGGACGGGGATCCCATCGAATGTATTGTCCGCGCCACAGGGATCAATGCCGATGGACGCAGTATGGGAATTACTATGCCGTCAAGCATTGCCCAATTACAGCTTATTCGCTCAACATATGCCAGCGTCGGGCTGAATCCCGCAGATCATCTCGAAGACCGGTGCCAATTTTTTGAAGCCCATGGCACAGGCACGCAGGCTGGAGATCCTCAAGAAGCCACTGCCATATATAATGCATTTTATGGGAATACAACCATGCCTGAGAAGTCAATCAAAGAGCCCCTGTACGTGGGGTCAATAAAGACCCTCATTGGCCATACAGAAGGTGTAGCAGGGCTAGCGGGAGTTATAAAGGCCTCTTTATGCGTCCAGAAAGGTATAATACCCCCGAACATGCTATTGGAGCGCATAAATCCAGTTATTGCACCTCTGACGTCTCGACTTCGCATACCAACTGAGCCATTGTCGTGGCCCAGCCTTGCCTCGGGTGTTCCTCGCCGGGTTTCGGTTAACTCATTTGGCTTCGGTGGAAGTAATGCACATGCGATCATTGAAAGCTATAGTCCTCCACCGAAGCTGACGCTAGAGCATTGCTTGTGCCCACGGCTTCTTCCAATTACTTTCTCTGCATGCACAGCCAAAACCCTGATAGATGTTCTAGAATGCTATGACCAATTTCTTCAAGAGCACCCCGACGTCGACCTGATAACCCTAGCCGAGTCTCTTCTAAAACGACGATCAGCATTCAGTCACCGTGTGTTTATCACAGCAGCTTCAATCGAAGCCCTCCAACTCGAGATCCAGATCGAGCTTGAAAAGCGAAGGTCAGCAGCAGTTTCAAATATTATGTTCCGGCCCAGCCATGCCCCAAAACGAGTACTGGGTATCTTTACTGGACAAGGCGCGCAGTATCCGCAAATGTGTTGGGACTTGATTTCAGCCAGTCCACAGGCCATGATCTGGATGACAGAACTACAAGAGTCGTTGAACAGTCTCCCATTGGAGTACCGTCCGGACTTTTCATTAGTTCAGGAGCTCTCGGCTCCCGAGTCATCTTCAAGAATCCGCGAAGCAATTGTGTCACAGCCCCTGCGCACAGCTGTGCAAATAATACAGGTGAACTTTTTACGGGCTCTGGGTGTTCGGTTTTGCACTGTCGTGGGACACTCGTCGGGTGAGATTGCAGCGGCTTATGCTGCGGACGCTATTAGCGCAGCAGATGCTATCAGAGTTGCATACCTGCGAGGGTTCGTAGCTACAAAGGCCGTCGCAAATGGCCAGCCTGGAGCTATGATGGTCAGTGGGATTCCCTGGGAAGACGCGCAGGCACTTTGCTCTGAAGGTGGCTTCAGCGAGACAGTCAGAGTTGCTGCAAGTAACTCTCCGGTAAGTGTCACGTTTTCTGGGGATACACAAGCGATACAAGAACTCGAATGGATGTTAGAAAGCCTAGATCTCGCGGTGCATCGCCTTAACGTGGACATCGCCTATCATTCGCACCATATGATACCATGCGCTGCACCGTATCTGCGCGCTCTCGAGGCCTGTGGAATTCGGGCAAATCCCACGACAACGACTTGGTTTTCGAGCGTACACAAGGAAACGAGGCTAGACACTGAAGACATCACTCCTCAATACTGGTGCCAGAACATGCTTCGTCCCGTGCTTTTCTCCCAGGCAGTAGCGGCCGCTTTTGCAGACAATCCCAAATTTGATTTATTGATCGAGGTGGGGCCACATCCCACACTCAGAGGACCAGTCTTGCAAACAATATCCGAGATGGCAGATGTAGAGCCAGAGACAACCTACCTTGGTTTGGCTGAGCGTAATGCCAACAGTACGGAGGTATTTGCTCGCGCTATTGGCTCACTCTGGACACATCTGGGAACAAATATAGACATCCAACGTTATCTGTCACTGTTCGATAATTCATATGGAAGCCGTTTCGTAAAATGCCTACCCACCTATCCCTTCGACAAAACACGAGCTTATTTGACGCTGTCTCGCCATACTAAAGCGCGCCTACACCACTCTGATCTCCCACACCCTCTTTTGGGGACTCTCAGTCCTGAAACGGGCGAAGACGAATGGCGCTGGCGCAACCACTTAAGCCGGACAGAACTCGGATGGCTCAATGATCATCAGGTTCAATCTCAGGCCGTCTTCCCTGCGGCCGGATACATATCAATGGCATTGGAAGCAGCTGAAAAAGCCGCACGTGGCCAACCTCTGCGGTTGGTGGAATTCGATGATGTGCGCATCCACTGTGCTGTTCCTATTCCTGACGATCCACAGGGTGTGGAGATAATCTCGAAATTAGGCATTAGGAAATCAGAAAGCAATGTCATCATTGCAGCCTTCCAATGCTACGCTAGTATTGCTGGGAAACTAAAGACATGCGCCTCCGGAGAACTGACTGTGTCGTTTGGGGAACAAGATGCTATGTCTTTGCCCCCTAGATCGTCTATACCAGCTGTTTCTCAGTCAATGGACATAGCTGAATTCTACGCATCTCTGAAAAGTCTTGGTCTCGGTTACACCGGTCCCTTCCAAGGGCTGAAGGCTCTTGCTAGACAAGCGAGTGGGTCGACGGGCATAGTTCCAGGGACCGAGCTGGGCACGTCTTTGCTGCTACATCCAGCCATCATTGACTCCAGCTTGCAGGCCTTGTTAGCGGCGAGGAACATCGATGAAGTCCACACACTACATGTCCCTGTGTCCATTGAGCACATCGCAATTAACCCGCAGTTGTGCAAGCCCAGCTCAGTGGAAGCCATGACTGAGCTTGCTGTCGAAGCTTTCCTCGATAGTGAACGCCCAGATGGCATGACAGGGGATATCAACGTATTTGACCCTGACGGCCACGGGGTCTACCAAATTGAGGGCTTCCATGTGGCTCCGATTTCAACTCCCGAGGATCGTGGAATCT